GTGTACTTTTGCCAAGAATATTCATGACTAAATTATATTAACAGTGTATATATACAGTATATACAAATACATATCATGGTATTCCTTTGCATTTACCTAGGTTTCGATCCCAACTCGAAATCCTATCAACCTCTGGTTGGTTTTAAGCTTCGGACTAAATATTAAGTACAGTTTAGTCCTAAACAATGTCCATAGCTAAAGTGAACTCTCAGTATATATACACCGAGAGATGGTTATAATTCTTTGTGTAATTATCCCTGATTATCTCAGTACATATACACCGAGAGATGGTTATAATTCTTTGTGTAATTATCCCTGATGATGCGCTGCCTTCACTGCCCATCTACATCTCTATACACGTGGGCACCACCAATACATTATATAATTATAATATATATAATTCAATAACAAAAGTCTACTTTATGCTGCTCTATCACGACATATTTGTACTTTCGATCATATCGTTATAATAAGTACTTTCATTTTAGGAGGCTGGGCTGAAAGAAACTATAGAGATTTATTGTAGATTTATTATAGCTAGATTCTTATAGATTTCCATATAACAAAATAAAGATATATATTTATCTATATATTTAACCCAACGTCCAAAATGATAACGCACATAGCGACTGTGAAGACATTCGTACAAAATATAGCGACTGTGAGGACATACGTACAAAATATGTATTGAAGTGCCAAAAAGTTCAACGTTGGTTTACACTGTTGGTTTCTATATGGTATGGCAATTTAAATAAGCCTGATAAACAAGCTCTGCTATCCCGATATGAATTAGGCCTCATATATGCAATCTTAGGCCTAATGTAGTACTTATTATACTATACATATACTATACTATTATATATGCAGTGCATACTATACTAAGCCTAGAGGAGGCAAGGTCTTTCTCGGCCCCTCTATAATACGAATAGTGCAAAACTAGTAGTACTTAATTAACAGGGATTTTGTTCGGCCGCCGCAGTCCACATTTTTAGACATTGGAAAATTTACATATGTGTGGAGTATCCTCAGCAGGTCAGTGATATAATTATCTTATGGAAATGTATTGTAGCGATGATGTGTGCGAACCATCGTATCGTATATATTGACGTAAAAGACAATTACAAAGTATAAATCGGTACTACTGAATTCTTCTGTTTAGATAGTAGTTTTTGTAACTATGTGCAGCATAGTACAAAGATTGCCGTTCTAAGCAATTAGATAAAACTTTATAGTCGGAAAACAATGAAGCTAAAAAATATACTTAAATATTCTTAGGCCTAGTATAGCACACATGTACTATATTAGGGCTCAGATATCGTGTATTAGGCCTAGGAAGGTTAGGTTAGTTTAGTTTGTTATTGCATCATACGTAGAAAATAGTTTTCCGGTTTGACCAACTCAGTAGTACCGATTTCTAATTTCTAAAGGAGGATAGGCTGAAATTTGGGCAAACTAGAAAAGATTTTGGACTGTGTTGCAAAGAAAACTTGTCCTAACCTAACCTTCCTAGCCCTAATACACGGCTATCTGATTCCTATTATAGTACATATATGTTATACTAGGCCTAGGGTTATTTAATTAAGTTTGATTTGTTAGCTTTATTTTTCGGACTATAAAGTGAATAGTACCAAATTCTACTATCTAATTGTCCATTACGACTATGTATGCACGATGGTCCACATAGTTACAAAAAATACTATGTAAATAGAAGGATGGATTGGCGATAAAGTGGTCAGATAAATACACATGTGTCGTGCAGGAGACCCGAGGGCAGGTAGTCCACTGGAGCCATGGGGTCGTGTTTCACCTCACAAACACTGGTGTCCATGACCTCCCACCACCCACTCAGTAGGGCATACATAAATCTGTGTATTTACGTATGTAGCTTAGCCTAGCATTTTAAAAGCACTACAGTCACCTTTTGTGGTTGATTGTTCAATAAATCTCTGAACTATATGTTTAACAAATTTCTAACCCTGTCCATGGAGGACAGAAGAAATTGTATATATGCTGGTTAGCCTTGTTAATGTGTGGCCACGTCTGTGGTAGAAAAAAGTCATTCACATATTTGTGTCTACAGGATCGAGCTTTTTGGACACAAGGTTTGCAAGTCTAGCTGTTTCATGTAATGATTCTCGATCTACTTTATCTGTCATATCCACTAGGCTAACTACGTACCATACCCAGTATGCAACCTATAACAGCTATCTAACGTCCAAGTATCTAGTTGCTGTTACCTTCCCCACGATGCAACCCACGACAGTCGCCTAACTCTCCGTTACCTATTTACTATTACGTAGATTGGTATCAGGAGTAAGGAACGTGCCCAAACGTTTCGTCTTGTTCGGGAATCAAACCCAGGACCATTCAGTTGCGAGTCGGTGTTAGTCTTATTATGAACAAACATAAAATTCCTAGTTTCAGGCACTAATAAAAATCATGGTTTCTGGATACGGCTGGTAATATTTTGTTGTAGAACTTCTATTATCTACGTAAAATCGCGAATCTATTTGTTTACACCACATGAACTTTTCACCATGATATTTTATTTTGTTTAACATATTATCGATAAATGAGACAATAGTGGCGGTTGTGAACTAAAATTATGTCTTCGTTACTAACGCTTAATGTGATAAACTTGGATGATCCTCATAATACACAATTTTTATTTATGTTCGTGAATTTTACACTATTGTATAACATGTTATCTGTATTTATGTGGGGGATTATGTATGCGTATGTATATATGTATACGTATAATATGTACATGTATATATGAGTATGTATACATGTATATATAACATTAATAATTGTGTAACTAGCGTCAAAAGATTGTTATTTGCTTAGCTAAACGAACTAGATTGATTGATTGATGAAGATTAAGCCACCCAAAAGGTGGCACGGGCATGAATAGCCCGTAAGTGGTGGCCTTTTTAAGCCATTACCAGTATCAAGAGCTGATAATGGAGATCTGTGGAGGTGCGAATGCACCCTGCATGACGGGAGATGTCTCCTTTGTGAATGTGTTAAGATGAAGATGAAGCCACCCAAAAGGTGGCACGGGCATGAATAGCTCGTAAGTGGTGGCCCTTTTGAGCCATCACCAGTATCAATAGATGATACTGGAGATCTGTGGAGGTGCGACTGCACCCAGCGTGACGGGAGATGTCTCCCGTGAGCTAGACTAATGATGAAGATTAAACCACCCAAAAGGTGGCACGGGCATGAATAGCCCGTAAGTGGTGGCCCTTTTGAGCCATTACCAGTATCAATAGCTGATACTGGAGATCTGTGGAGGTGCGACTGCACCCTGCGTGACGGGAGATGTCTCCCGTGAACGAACTAGAGGGTTCAGTTCCTGAACCGATTATGTGCCTCTGTAATCCTTTACACCACCGCCCACGGGATGGGTATGGGGTGGGGGTAGAAATAGCCTAAGCTACTCTATCCCTTTGAGATATATTTATTGCTAATCTCAATAAACATACTTGAACTTGGGTATGGGGTGCATAATAAAGAAAGAAATTGAATTGTATTCTTGTAGGCTATTAGTCGCAGTATTAAAGAAAAAGTTGGCGAATAATTGAACGGAAAACAACCCAGATGGCCAACGGTTAGACCCAGTGGTTAAGTCGACATAACCACTAAGGTAGCAGTGGTTATGACGCAAACAAAGCAATGGTTGGCATTTCATTGTGCACACTTTCTACTAAGCGTAATCTAACTCAGCCTAATAACTCAAAAATGTTCGGAACGCTAAAAATGACCAGATCACAAGGGAGTAAGATATATTTGACGTGTTTGGCCTGTTTAAGGGCTTATCACGTCAAACAGATACTCAGGGTTGGTTACTTATAATGGAAAGAGGGTTGAGGTGAGGTCCAGTGAGGTCACGGCTCACATGGTAGGGATTATGCCTGAACTAAATATACATTTATGTCATATCTACTAAGCAGACATATACATTGATGTATCTACTAAGTAGACATATACATTGATGTATCTACTAAGTAGACATATACATTGATGTTATCAAACAGACATACAATTATAACGTATCTACTTGGTAACAGATCGGCATCATTCCAATTGATTAGACTACCTTTGGTCTCTGTATGGCTCACTCGTATTATTGTTACAACACACATGCTACCTAAGTTTCCAGATATTTCCTTTCATCTGATGCCTGAATTCACCAAACCGTAAAATAGCATACCTAGGGAGTTAGCAATTATCATGGGTTGCATCATTGGGAAGATCAGAAGTTGTCCTGTGGGTCTTAGAAGGGCATCGAAAAGTCTAAAACCAGGCTTCGTGTCCCCGATAACGGGTTGCAACCGGGGGGGGGGGTTGTAGATAATATAAAACGTGTATAAACTCGCGTTGGCAGGTTTTGCTGCTGTTTGTTCTAGTTTTGCTGTTGTGGCTGACTGGGGATGTTTTGTATAGTCTTATATAGGTATATAGGAGTCTTATATAGGTCTGTGTTGTCTTTATTGTGGGTTTGTCTATCTCCTTGCAGGTGTGAGAGTGACGGTCGTTGTCCGTCCTGTTTCTGGCGTGTTAAGAGACGGTCTCTGTCTGTCCTGTTACTGATGTGTTAGTGACGGTTGCTGTCTGTCCTGTTGCTTATGTGTTAGAGACGGTCGCTGTCTGTCCTATTGCTGATGTGCTAGTGACGGTCACTGTCTGTCCTGTTGCAGGCGGGTGAATTCCACGACAATATTCGATTCAAAAATTTCGCTAAAAACAAAACCCTTAGGAATAATAAGGGGGGGGGGAGGGACATTTGACAAGCCATCGGCTTTCTGTTCTTGTCGAGGCCACTAGACATCATCTCAAGATAACCCCCCCATTCAAGATAGAGATGGTGGCTCCCAGTTAAATATCGGATAAATAATAAACAATTCCTTTATCGTCTGTATAGCTTCTGTTTCTCCTTTATATATCATATAATAAGTGTCAAAAACAGGATAAAAATTCACTTAATTGTTGCCTAGGTGGAAGACGAGAATTCCCCGCCTGGAATATGCGGATGTGTCGGCGGGTGTGTCGGAGGGTGCAGCGGAGGTGACAGCAGCGACCTGGACCTGGCCGGCGACCTCTCCGACGACACCCGTGACTCCACCAGTGATGACGACCAAGGCGACGATGCTCTTGGGAGCTCCACCTACGCTTCCTCTCACCAGCCTCGCTATCTCTCCTGGAGACGGTCAGAAGGTGGGTGTTCTTGTCTCTGGCGCGCGCGGGAGCTCATACACACACACGCGGTGGAGGAGGGGGGACGCCGGTGGCTGTGTGGACAGCACGCTGGACACGTAATCCTGTTGCCCTGGTTCGATTCCCGGCGCATGCGAGAAACAAAATGGGCAGAGATTTCACCCTGATGCCCTTGTTTTCTAGCAGTAAATAGGTACCTGGAAGTTAGACAGCTGCAACGGGCTGCTCCCTGGGTGTGTGGGGGGGGGGGGAGACAAACAAAGCGGACAGGTAGCTGGGGTGTAGAAGGGTCAAGGCATGTCAGACAACTCTCTTCTACAACGCGATTATACCAAGACAAAAATATTAGTGATGGACAGACTGGCTTCTTACTAGGCATCCAAAAAGTCTTTTATACTAGACCTTCATAAAAGTCTAGTATGCAAAATGGTGACTGAGATAACAGGAAAGACTTAACTTGGTATGCGAGTGCATGACAGGAGACTTAAGTAGGTATGCGAGTGCATGACAGGAAAGCAGTAAATAAAGACAGTATTGAACGGAATCTTGAGTTATCAAATAGGTCCCTTAAAAGTGTCATTAGACGAGAACTCCTGGATGAATTTGAAGAAAGTAGAACTGTGCAAACTGGAACTAGCAGGTCCATTGTTCATCACAATGAAATGTGTGAAGTAAAACATGTGTATGGGGCAAGTAACAAAATAAGCAGACTAACAGACGTTATCACAGCTCGAATAAGACTTGGCTACAAGTATCTCTGGCAGTTCTGCTTGTATAGGGATCTAGATGAAGTAAAGTGTAAAGTGTGTGGACAAAGACAAGGACACACACTCGAACACTATATCTTGGATTGTAGCAAAATTGAGCCATTTAGAGATAAATCTAAGCTCACGCTGTGTGATATGGCAACCTATCTTATTACCATGGATAATAATAATAATAATAATAATAATAATAATAATAATTAATAATAATAATAATAATAATTAATAATAATAACAATAAATTAATAGAAATTTTTGTTTGTATTAATTAGCTTAGGTATACACAGCAATGTGCTGCTACCATATTCTATATGAAAGATTACACAGTGTAGATAAAAAACTAGCTATAAGTTCATCTAATATCCTCATCTCACAGGATGGTTAGGCATACATGGAGTCAAGAGAGAAAATACCTGTCTCAATACAAAAAATATATTAAATTCGACTAAATAATAACTTTATGATTTTCATAAGAGCGTATATATATAATAATATATAATATAATAATATATAATATAATAAATGGAATATATATAATAAATACACAGACTTATGCATGGACACTTAAATATTCTCAAATCATATTGCTCATAAGTCACATTACAGGTCTACTGGTGTTTAATTCACACTGTAATGTACACACAAACTGATTCTGGGCAGAAAACTCCACAAAATTAACATTACTGAGACAAATCACTAATAAACCTGCATATTGCTTGACAGGTTGTGAGGGTGGGGAGAGTGAGGGAGGCGTGGTAGTGGAGGTGAGCGAGGCAGGGTCAGGAGAGGAGCGGGGCGTGCCTCAGCGCACCATCAGGAAGGTCTTCACCAACACCCGCGAACGCTGGCGTCAGCAGAACGTCAGCGGCGCCTTCGCCGAGCTCCGCCGCCTGGTCCCCACACACCCTCCGGATAAGAAGCTCTCCAAGAATGAGATCCTAAGGCTGACAATCAAATACATCAAGCTGCTCAACTCTGTGCTTGAGTGGCAGCAGAGGCAAGACGATTCCCCATACCAGCAAAATGATGCCGACAACTGCAACAACAATAGTAGTAATAATAATAAAAATACCAGCAACAGTGTCAACGCGAGACACAACACTGGAAGGAGCATCAGCAGCCAGCGACACTCTCCCCTGTCTCCCCACGATACCTGCATCACCTTAGATACGTCTATGCGATACCGCTACTTAACACTTCCTTCTTCCCCTCCCTCCCCCAGTTCGCCTCTTCCAGCCTCATCGGCCTCTTCCACGTCATCTTCACCTTCTCCTCTGTCTTATTCGTCTCCCTCAGGTCTCCGGCCTTCGCCACAACCAGTCACATATACACAACCGCCAGTCCCTTCCACAGCCACTTCTTCCTCCTCCTCGCCGTCGTCGCCTGCGTTAGCGCCAACGTCTACAGCATCGTCGCCATCCCCAGAGGAGGGAGCCTCGCCAGGGCCGCGGTTTCATCCTTATGTACTAGCGGTGCGGGTCCGTCCTGGCTTATCCCTCCTTCATCCTCACTCTAATTAAACTTAATAGCATATTACCCCATGTGATAATCATTTTATATTGCTGTGTTGAGATGGCGTACAAAAAAACTGTTCGTATTTTATATATTGCGCCCTTAAATTATGAGACCGCTGATAGACTAATTAATAGGGAGCTTATGTACCGTAGAACATGTCCCAGATGAAACAGAATGATAAAAATTCCCATAAAAGTTACCAATAAGTAGACTTGAATGTATGGTTGTATTTAGTACTAAATCAGACTTCACGTGATATTAAAGATTAATATTTGCATATCAATGTCTGGACTTAAAAGGGTCATTCATGTAGGATGAGCGACCATAAATGCCAATGAGTAAAACCACAAAAGCCGTGATTCGATCCTATGCGATGGATATTCCCACGCACATACCCCAAGCTTCAGTGGAATCAGTAGGATCACTTCACATGGTCAGTAGAATTGCAACCTGGAGTTCTACTAAACACAAGGGTTTTCTGAGGCTTCCACTAAAGCAGGTCCAGCGTTTTCACACAATCTCCCCATGCACTCTTGCTCTGCCATCTAGGAATGTTCTACCTCTGACCCCGTGATGAGGATTTGAACATAGGTTCGAATCCTCATCAGATTTTTTCATTGAAACATCACGTTAGTGATTACTCTCTGAGCACAAATGTCAAGATTAACGGGGCCGTCAAAACATTCATCTGTAAGCGAGGACTCATATATGTTGTGCTCTTGAGGCAGGTTATTAAAATCCTTACAATACCTAGACCAACCAACAAGTACCCTTTCTAGTTCTGAACTATGCTGAGGACTTAAATAAATTCTTATTGCATGTACACCAAGAAACTGAAAAAATCTTTCAACGTCGATATTTCTTTTAATAACTTGTATCATTAATTAGATTTGTATTTGGAAAATAATGCATGCAATATACTAATAATAATTATTATATATTAATAATTATTATTATCTACGTAATTATTGCGCGTAATTAACCTGCGTAAGGACGTAATTATTATATAATATACTAATAATAATTATTATTAGTATATTATTAGAAAATCTTACTCTAAATAAATCGAAATAATATTATTTTAAATGGGTAATATTAATCATGTAACCAACATTCTCAGACATAGTTGAGAATGTCTGGCCGGTCATCAGTTCGCCCTTGGGTTGATCTGACTACAGGAATTCTGATTAAATAATCTCTGGTATTTGGTGTAATTCGTGTCTGTGTGGAAAGTCATCAATGACGGTCACACGGGTTGAAATAATTTATTATTAAAAGCAGATTAGATAAATAGTCAAGATGAACAAATTATAATAAAAACATGTGATAAAGGAATGTTGCAGACATATATTTGAATTTTCGAAATATACTGTGCGGGTCCAACACGAGGCTGTGACCTTGGGAGATCAAATAATCAAGCTGTAATTAATAACGACACATTATTATTATATTTAAACTAACCGGTGGTTGTATTTTTTTTTACCAAAGTAACATGTTAGGTTATTTATTGCGCAGTGTTATTTAATTGATTGATTGATGAAGATTAAGCCACCCAGAGGTGGAACGGGCATGAGTAAGTGGTAGATGTTTGGAGTGAATGTGAATTATTTAATTGATTGATGAAGATTAAGCCACCCAAGAGTGGCATGAATAGCCCGTAATTATTTAATTGGTTGTCAAAGCTTTATAAACGACACGTAACCTAACCTTTAAAATGACGCCAGCGGAGCCCTTTCAGGTAAGTCCACTACGGGCTCACCATAGCACGTGCTACTTGGAACTTTTGTTCCGAGTAGCTGAATCTAAAACAACAACAAACCTTTCAGGTGACTTAATGCTTCGGCCATTTTGTGTTCTATCCTGAGAGGTAGGACACAAGCGTCCCGCCTCTCTTCCTGGTTTCATTGGGGATGTTCTTCACCAACCCATCCTCTCTTAAGACACTAGCCTACATGTAACCAAAATATAGCATATGTATAAAATATACATCGTTAAAATAATCAACCAGTGTACATATTGTCCTATTAGCAAAAATTATAAGATCAGGAATACAAATAATATACAGTATGACTTGCACACTGTTGGATATGCACCTTACAGATATGCATCAAGCTTTCTTAAACTTTTAACTCTTTTTAAGATAACAAAACACAAAATACGCAGCCTACCTCTTATTTATATGACACGTGTTTAACTTCACTAAACCCTTAGTTTAACAAACTTTTATAAAAACGTCACCATTAATATTTACCAACATTCCATTCTTACATTTAAGACAAAAACATGTTTGATCACCACTAAGTAGGTCGACGCTTAATGTCTCCCTCTGACCGCTCGGGCTGGGCGGTAGAGCGACGGTCTCGCTTCATGCAGGTCGGCGTTCAATCCCCGACCGTCCAAATGGTTGGGCACCATTCATTTCCCTCTTCCCATCCCCAATTTTTATCCTGACCCCTTCCAAGTGCTATATAGTCGTAATGACTTGGTGCTTCCCCATGATGATTCCATTCCCTCTGATTACACGGGAGAATGTATAGATCAACGATTTAATAGCCTGTCTACGGTCCTGGCTAGACCATATGGTCTCTCAAACTTGTGTAACCAGTAGTCACCTAATTGTGATTGCCCGGGTTGAGCTTTGTCTCTTTGGCCCCGAGGTTATATTATGAATGTATAATTGTTTGTATAATGAAAATAAATGTTTTAAACTGTAATTTTATTATTTAGCATGTTTCATTTTAATTGGAGTGTAGTCCTTATGAGGAATTTGTTTATATTTTATATCATGAAGTAAATTATCAAAAAGCGCCAAGTCAGGAAGGATATATATATATATATATATATATATATATATATATATATATATATATATATATATATATATATATATATATATATATATATATATATATATATATATATATATATATATATATATATATATCACCATCTATATCACAGAATAGTTAAACATTCCTTGATATTCAGGATGCCAATACGAGAGCAGAATGACATAAGAAGAGTGATGCCAACGATATAGATTCGCCGAGAATTTTATCGGGGGACATATGACACAAATCCACAGTGGGAAATAATTTTTTTCAATAATCATAAAAAAGGACATTCAACAAGTTCAAGTTCAAGTTCAAGTATGTTTATTGAGACAAGAAAAAAATACATCTCAAAGGGATAGAGTAGCTTAGGCTATTTCTACCATTCAACAAGATGTGCGGCTACAAGCAGGGTAATAAGGTTTGACAATGATCTCGAACCCATTGATGATGTGACGACTTGTACTGAATTTTGTAACTAGCTCATCAAGATTGTAACTTGCTTAGCTAAATGAATTGTGGGGTTCAGTCCCTGAGCCCATTATGTGCCTCTGTAACCCTTTCCACTACCGCCCACAAGATGGGTATGGGATGCATAATAAAATGAACCAAACTAAAAAAAAAACTGACAGTAAAGTGAGGGCCATTACAAAACCTACCCAGAGACATTTCCGATTTTCTGCTCCAGTGACAAGCGGGTCACAGGAATAGGTGACATTTGATAGTACGTAATGTGTTATTCGTAACAGTAAACCATTTCTCTCTCCACCGGTTACAGGTTGCGTTATCAACGACAGAGTAGACATCCGAGTAAGGAATTTGATTCTGAGACAGGCACAAATGGCCTCCTTAACAGCGGCGTTAAGGAAGGCTATTGTCTGCAACGTCATTAGAAGTAACAAAATTACTGGGAACTCTGATTGTCTTAAATTTGTTAAAGATGAGGAACAGCCAGTGTTGGATACCGTTCGATAGAGGATAAGTAACTGTTTCATGGCATATAAAACTATAATGGTTTGCAGTAAAAATATTCCTCCGGAGAACGACGACAAAGATTTAATCCATGAAAAGAATAGAGAAGCCTAGCAACGCTATCAACAGATTTTGACCAATCCATAAACATAGCAGTAGAGTGGAATTGGATGATTTTATATGATCTTTAGAAATTAATATTACTAAAACAAATGCCCTTGTTATTGTGTTGCAGTGCCTTATTAACCCGCTCAATCTCTTGGTTGCTGAAATTCAATATTCGATGTGTTATTTTCACTTAACACAAAAGTGGAGTTGTGCTGGGTGCTCGGTCATATTGGTAAAGACTTCACGCGAATGGGCTGATGAAATAAACAAAATCTGCCATTCAGACGTGGTCTTGAAGTCCATTCCTTTCAACTATTACTACTCAATAATACACTCAGCCGTATCAACACAGTGTAGAGAGAAATGGGTACATTTATCGAATAATAAACCTTTGTGCTACCAAACATGATGTTTTCCATTAGCCTTCGTGTCATCAGAACTGAAAGTAGGAAATCTCAAAAGCTACACAAAAAACTATTTAAATGCTGAATAAAATTTTACCACAAGTCTAGATAAAAATAGAATGGTATAATTATTCAATATTGCACAATAAATGTTAAATAAACGTTGATATATGAAAAATATGATATAATATGAATATGATGACAACATAGTATGAATATGATGTTGAATAAACATCCTAAAATAAGCAGATGAGGAGTCACAATAACGTGGCTGAATAATGTTGACCAAACCACACACTAGAAAGTGAACAGACGACGACGTTTCGGTCCGTCCTGGACCATTCTCAAGTCGATTGTGACCATTATCACAATCGACTTGATAATGGTCCAGGACGGACCGAAACGTCTTCGTCTCTTCACTTTCTAGTGTGTGGTTTGGTCAACATCCTAAAATAAGTGAACATTCTATGTATAATTCTTAGGTATGCTACATATTTGATTTAATCAAGTTCTGAAATTAACACTAAAAAGAACCCTACAAATGTTTTGCGTTTATAGCTTGAGCGTATTATTTACAAAAATATTCATTAGTTAATATATTTTATAATTAATAGAAATTCAATTTGTATATACTCGTACTAAATGATATAGCACATTGAAAACAATGAAAATATATAACTATTGGACAGTATAAGAAGGCAACAACTCGATAACCTTTGTGTTCAGATGCAATGCTGTTGTTCTTTCAGTGTTCAGCTAATAACACCAAGTATTCACTAATAACACCGGCTGCCACTAACAACACCAGGTATCCAGCTGCCACTAACAACACCAGTTATCCAGCTACCACTAACAACACCAGGTATCCAGTTGCCACTAACAACACCAGTTATCCAGCTACCACTAACAACACCAGGTATCCAGCTGTCACTAACAACACCAGGTATCCAGCTGCCACTAACAACACCAGGTATCCAGCTGCCACTAACAACACCAGGTATCCAGCTGCCACTAACTACACCAGGTATCCAGCTGCCACTAACAACACCAGGTATCCAGCTGTCACTAACAACACCAGGTATCCAGCTGTCACTAACAACACCAGGAATCCAGCTGCCACTAACAACATCAGTTATCCAGCTACCACTAACAACACCAGGTATCCAGTTGCCACTAACAATACCAGGCATCCAGCTACCACTAACATCAGACATTCAGCTGTCACTAATAACACCAGGCATCCCAGTATGGAAGCAGGCCACCTTGGGCGTCACAATACCGACGTACGACAGAGAGGTGGTAACATTGTTCTGTGGAGAATTAGTCTTTGGAAGTGTCTATGATGAGTCTGGTGGAGTGAAACTTGATAAGCAGCAAAGGCAGCATAGAGAGCGTCGCAGACAGCAGTAGTGTGTAGGTCATCCACAAGTAACCTGCGGCAACAATCAATAGCATTCAAAAAGGTACTACATTCTGCGTAAAAAGAATATATATGCCAGTTTTCAATTATATATGAAGAGTAGTAATATTAGTGACCATATGGAAACTGAAATTGCACGAAATATTACATCAAATGTTATATATACAATGAGGAATATGGAATTCACGATAACATATTGAGGGCCATACATGTACAATAGGATCGAATCAGCATATCTGGACTCCCTAGACACACGCACTACCGACTGAACCATGATGAGTTGTTGAAGCTTACCAACATTAGGGATGAAGAAGGCCAGCAAGACGCAAACAGTGACGATGTTATCCATGCCGATCATGAGTCCTGATAGCAAGAGTTCAGGCACAGGGTACGCCAGGTCCTGTCCCACCTCCAGGAACAGTGGGATGGTGGCATAATTGCACGCTATGCCTCCTATTATTGACACATACACTTGCCCTACAAAGTATAAAGAGTCATTCAAAATGATGTAGCATAATTGTCATAGTAAAATCCGATTTCTTTAATGTTAAAATTGATGTATGGTTCTCATAGAGAAATTTCATTATCTGTTCGATTTAATACAGGCTTAATTATTATATTTTATATAAAATATAATAATTAGTTTACTACTTTATTTTTCTTCTAATGTGTGCGTAATTTATTATAGCAGTAATGCTGGAGAAACACTACCTGGAGACATCGAGAACACAACATTTGCATACAAGCAATATTTATGTAAAGAACATATTTATTCCGTCTTCTTAGTATCTTGATCACATAAGTATTACATAATGAGACTTGAATTATAAACGTATCAATCAAGTTATTCGATTGTTGGCTTTTGTTTTCCAAGATGCTTATCATACTGACAAATTATTTTATTATATCTACCTCACTTGACCCAAGAATAAATTGAGTGTATTTCATCTATTAATTTTTTTTAGGCTCTGTCTTCGAGGTACGAAGATTTAACTCAAGAGTGAATTACTGAATTTGAGCAGCACCCTCCACGGCCTCCAATTATAGTATCAAACGGTAAACGACCAGTTTACCATTTTTATACTATCAATTTAGTACTGATGCCATAAATGATACTTAATAAGTTTTGTAACCTCTCAAGCCCATGTGGAGTGAGTTCAATTTCATATATAAACCTGAAAAAAAGATATTCACAAATAAGCAAGTTGTAACAAATGAAGCATAACTAACTTACATTGTGCAAACGGCAAAACTTTGTAGGAGAGAAGGAGGAACCAGAAAAAGCAGCAGGAGGTGGTCAACATGAGGCTGAAGAGCAACACTCTAACATGGCCTTGTATTAGGTCATTGATGCGGCCTGCGATGATTGGTGACGTACTCGACGCTATCACAACAATCACCCCAATCCACATTGCATCGTCCTGGTAGATGATGACATGGAACTCAGTAAATGGACTTAACACGAGAAATCTCTTTTATGGTAAGGAAAAACTAACTCCAAGTGTCATGATCACAGACTATTAGATCTGTACTGATCTTTATTACTTGTCTTTCAGCAAGAAGTTCATCAATTTTACTACTGAAAAACAAATCTAAACATATATAAGCATGAGTTCACCTCACTCTATCAATCCTGTTCATGGGGATGATTAGTCCTTAACTGATGCGAGTGATGAATTATAAGGTTAGTTGAAGCGGGTGATAGTTGACTAACGCGACGGGTATCTTCCCCCCTGGGGTCAAAGGAGGTCCACGAAACAACTGAATGCTTTGTCAAGTCTACCGTCCGGCCCAAGTCAACCACTTGGACTGGATAGTAAAGCGAAGGTCTCGCTTCCTGGAATTCGGCGTTCAATCCCAGACCGTCCAAGTGGTTGGGCACCATTCCTTCCCCCAGTCCCATCCCAAATCTTTATCCTGATCCCTTCCAAGTGCAATATAGTCGCAATGGATTGGCGCTTCCTTCTGATAGTTCCCTTCCCTTCTGTCAAATTCATTTTAGTGTTAATCCATGGGGCAAGGTCACGAATATAGATGGTTTAAAGTGTGCGCAGCCTCCTACGGTAACTGGTCAGTGTGAAGAGTGTTGTGTTATATTACGATGTCCTGACGATTCAAAATGGGGGGGGGGGGGTGTGGATGAGTGAATGGTGTCTTACTCCTCCTTCCTGCAAAATAAATGTGAGACACCTCTCAGAGTGTTAGCAGTGTACCGACTTTAGCTTATGCCACACAGTGCACAGTCTCCAGAACTGCATTAATGTTCATATACCAGTTTAGTACATTTTGGCTTGTCTGAAGCGGTGGAAATTTTCTGTTTTGTTATGATAAGGGAAGCTGTACGACGGTTGTTATAGAAAATAATAGCACGAAGACGTGTGTTTTCTCACTGCAAAGTTTACAATTATATCCCGTATCGCTTTTTCATTCCTCTTATTTTTATTTACATATTTTTACAGTACACTACAATATCTTCTCCTGGATGGGGGGTCCAATTATTGTCAGTGTAGAGGTTACTTAGCTTCTTATTAACTATATCGTTGAAGTCGGTATTACTGTAATCGATATTCACAATAATTTGACTGATACGTTCGAGTTCACGGTGGTGCAAGAGGTGACAAGATGTAATTATCAAGAGAAAGCGCTAAGCCAGAATAACTATATAGGGGTCAAGAAGTGCAGGTATAAACTGTACGCCCACATGCTTATGCACTGATGACACTTCTTATATCTGTCAGAACATTCACTCTTACCGCTTATACATGTACATGTATCAGTCGGTAATGTCAATGCTTGATAATGCTTCAAGAATATGTTAATAACTAGCTCCTTCAGTAAACTGGGGGTGAAGTAATTCTCAAAAGAAGGCGCCAAGCCGCGGGGGGGGGGGGGGGGGGGGACTTATGTAGCCTCAAGAATATCAATAGAATTTCAAATGTTCTGGTAGAATGTCTCCTACTAATTCACTATCACCAGTGCACGAGAAAATTAATGAAGATAATGCAATCCATAGAAAGTTTAATGCTTGCGCGGCTATTTCCTTTAAGATCTTGCCACATTTAGTAGGTTCTGGTTGTTGAAAAAGAATGGGGAAAAGTTTGTTTGGGCAAGGTCTAGCACGTTGTAAAACCGTATCGTGGGCATCTACATCAACTAGTCAGTTTCATCATCTTATGGTGTTCAGTTTTTACCTCGCGTATGGCATCAGTGGTTTTAGAGTCCAACAATACACAGAACAACATACTATTAGTGGATACATTGCTTGAAGCTCCTAGTGAAGAGGATCTAAGCGCATCTATGGAAGGGTTGAAGACTAATTTGAGAGCCTCTTCATGAGACTGCTACATACACAAATTAGCATTAATGGCCATTTTGTATTGTTATTTGTCTTAAAAAATCATAACTTACCTGATGAAAGCCGAGTGGAAAAAGCGAGTAATCCAACACAGAGATCCAGGCTATGGGAGGCCCAACAGACACACCGTACGACAACAGCATCATCATGAACTGTTTGTTTCTGTTGGAATAATATATGGATAACAAATATACGTTCGCTAAAAATGGCTACAGTTATATGATAACTGTTATTTGATGTGGGGCTGAGAAATGCTCAAAGAAATACTTAGCCGAAATGATGACAAACGACAAATAATATAAAACTTTTTTTTTTTGCTTTAGTTCTTTAGCTACAGGGTACTTTATAAAGTCACCCCCATTTTAGGCGACCAAAAGTATTTGCACATTCGGTAAAGCTCTAGAATTATGATTTCAGTTTTAAATTAAAGTACTTAATATTAACATTGTTAGACCTCATAATCATCACTTAGGTTGTGCTTACAAATTATTAATAGTGGTAATCGAAGCACTACTACAAGAACCAATATAAATATTGCAGCCCATCCTCCTATTTTGGTAGTATTTATAGTAACGATGAGGACCATAGTACATATACAGTGCTACAGTTCAACGCAATTAGAAAGCAGAAATCGTACATATTGAATTTGGACAGCACTGGAAAAGATTTTATATTTATGTTGCAAAGACAAACTAAACTAACCTATCCAAACCTTCCTCGGCCTAATACACGCTGATATATATATATATATATATATATATATATATATATATATATATATATATATATATATATATATATATATATATATATATATATATATATATATGTGCTATCTAGGCCTAGGAATATTTAAGTTAGTTTTAGCTTTATTTTTTCGAACTATGAAGTGAATAGCACAAAATTTTCCTATCTAATTCCTCAGTACGTCAATGTGTGTACTATGGTGCACATAGTTACAAAAAGTACTACCTAAACAGGAGGATGGGTTGAAAGATTACCATACAGACACAAAATGTCACTTGTCTTAATAATGACAGTAAAACTTGAACATGTTGAAGGACTGACGTGACTTACTTGACAAGAGACTTCAAGCCGGGGATAAAGTTAAGCCGCTCAGTAGAAGAGGTGACTGAAGGAGGGGTGGGAGGCTTGGAGGGGAAATGTGCCAACACCACCAGAAATATAACACCTGCCACCCCAGCACCTATCCAAATATAGAAGGATTTTTAAATATTTAATTAAAATATGTTCAGAGCAAAACAAAGCATTGTGAAATGAATATTGGAAAAATGATTGGTGGATAGTGTGCAATAAACTTACATAAAGTAGATCAGAAACTGTAAAAAAAAAAATGCAGCTTTGCAAGCCTAATGTTACGACTTTTGGCGGATATAACCGATATAATAAAGTCTCATGCGTCATTTTAATTAGATTTTACCCGAGCTTTCTTTTACAAAAGCCACGTACGAATATCATAAATATAATCATTTATTGTTTCCAGAGTATAACCACGCTGAAAGACGTGGTCCTGGTGCTTGTCTTCCAGCCAAACCTCCATCTGTTTGCTGTAACATCCCAACCTGTTTCCAAATACCGCTGCCAAACGAGACAGATGTTCTCAACCTGCCATACTGGCAAGTCGAGAACATTTTCTCAAGTTGAGGACATTTGAGCAAGTTGACAAATTGACATTTTCCTTGGCCGGCAGTAATATTCCGGGAACAGTAACCAAATCTAGTCGACCTGATGCAAAGTGAAATTCACACCGGTGCCTCCACTTATCATTATTCTATTATGCAGGAAGAACCGCACGTCTATGGATCATCCAATAGGGTTAGCAGACTTTTAGATGTTATCACTGCTAGGGTTAGGCTCGGCTACAATTAGTACCTCTTGAGAGTTTCCATCATCTACTGATGGAGATTGACTAAATGTAAACTGTCAGCAGAACTATTTACATGATTTGCGTCATTATGAAATGGAATGTGAAAAATCGCGGAATTCAGAGATAACACCATCAATGGTGTCCAAGAAATGCGTAAGTACTTCACTCACAATGATGTACTGCCAGGAATCTAAGCAAAGTATTAATATTACTTCTTTGATCTCTGGTTATAAATTCCCATAAGGGAAACAATGTTCGCAATTTAGAATGTACAGTAAAAAAAAATTAAATAAGAACATGAGAATTTAGAAACCCTGCAGAAGGCCTATTGGTATAAGCATTTGTAAAGTTTGTAAGGACTGTACCTAGATATAAAAGATGCATGACATCTTGCTGTACATCCTCGGGAGACACCTGAAGGGAGGGCAGACGTACCAAGAGAGGCTCCAGGTAGCTGCCCAGGATGCCTAGCTGTGACGCACCCATCATCACCGCTAGTGGGGAACAAGAACATTATTACTGCAAAACATATTATCTCTGTGCTCGCAATGATTTCACAAGAACGTGATGTACCTATTAGGAAATATTGAAGCCGTTCGTATCAGATAAGTTGTCGATGTTATAATTAAAGCAACAATTATCATAAAATCTGGAAAACATTGTAAGACATGGTTATTTTGACAAAGTTTGAGATGGAAACATTGGGCTGAGTCAGTCGTGTGGAGACTGATCAGTGTACTAGAATACTTGTAATCTAACACTAAAAAGAAATTAGACGGAAAAACATTTAATATTATATAGATGACTTGGCACAGCTATAGAAAAGTTATAAAACTTTACATAGAGACAAAACTTTGTAGAAATGCTGTAAAAATCGAAGAAACTACCTCAATACTTATATGGGGCAAATGAACTGTGCTCTGCTTTTATAATAAAAAATTATAAATACATAAACACCTAAATTAATACATAAATAATACACAAATAAATAAATTAATACATACATAAATAGATAAATACATAAATAAATATATATAGTATATTTTTTTAAATAGAAGGGAGTACCCCCTCTGGCTGGAAGAAGGAGACCCTTAACTTTGGAGAAAAACACACATAACGCATTAAAGGGGATTTTTTTAGGTCCCTCTAATACTGTTTCTATGTTCTTTCATCCTATCACCTCCTTCCTGTTGTGTTTTATTGTGATTTATTAGGTATTTAAAGGTTACAAAATGTACATTGGTTAATACAATGAGTATAAAGGTTATTGATCTCTTGGAACTCCTAAGCTTCCGGACAGGAACCGAGGACGCAGCAGACGTTTTCCCTCTGGATCGAATAAATAAATAAATAAATAAATAAATAAATAAATATATATATATATATATATATATATATATATATATATATATATATATATACATACATATATATATATATATATATATATATATATATATATATATATATATATATATATATATATATATATATATATATATATATATATATATATATATATATATATATATATATATACATATATATATATATATATATATATATATATATATATATATATATATATATATATATATATATATATATATATATATATATATATATATATATATATGTGTTGCGATTCAGAGGGGAAATGCCTGTTGCGTCTTGGGCACTAGTCCAACTTCAGAGGAATTCGAAGAAGTGTTTGACTTGCAACAATGATCGAACCCGTCTGTGACATTCATCAATGTTTCCCATTGTTGTGTTCTTCAAGAGATCCATAACCTTTAAGCACCTTTTTGCATTATTATTTTTGTATCAACCCATGTATATCTTGTAACCATCAAATGCATAATAAAGCACAAACAATATTCAAGGAAGGGGGTGGTAGGAGAAAAGCACACAGAAACTGTATTGGAGGGGATCTAAACATTCCCTCTAATGCGTTATGCGTGGTTTCCTCCGAGGCTATGGGTCCCCCTTCTTCCAGCTAGAGGTGGTACTCCCTTCCTATATAATTTAAAAAAAAAAAAAATATATATATATATATATATATATATATATATATATATATATATATATATATACAACCATTCAGGCTTGTTCGCATATATATATATATATATATATATATATATATATATAATATATATATATATATATATATATATATATATATATATATATATATATATATATATATATATATATACTTTAGGAAATGTAATTTAGGAAAAAGTAAGTTACTTACCAGTGGCAGTGGTCCTCTCATGCACTGGGAACCAGTCTGCTGCAATGAGCACCGGTGCCACCAGGATAATTATGCTGGATATGCCCACCAAGATGGCACACAAGTGACACATACTGCCAACAGATAACGTTAACTATAGTATGATAATTTACTTTCATGAAAATTCATGCTGAGAAAATATGACATACACATGTCTAACCTACGCTTGAAACGATCCAATGATTCCACGTCTATTATGTTTATTTGTGGTCTGAAGGACACATTATCAAGCATTTCATTGAAGTAGGATCACATATGATTGTTTCAAGCGTCGGTTAGACAAAAATATATGAAGAAGTTTGAGTAGATGGAATTAAAGTTAACTTTTTGTGTGAACACATGACTTCGTAATGACACATGATGTAAAAATATGACAATCTTAACTGTGTGGTCAGATAGAGGGTGTAGGAGGAGGTGGTTCAAGTTCATGTTCAAATAAGTTTAAGATAATAAAATACTGAACATCCCAAAAGGATAGAGTAGCTTAGGCAATTTCTACTCTCCTCTACATTAAGTCCCTCAAGGGACTCAAAATTCCATAACGTAGACAAATAAGTATATACATTACAAATACACCTTAATTCATGAAGTATCACACAGTACATAATACAAAATATATTACAAGAATCTTAGTATTATAAGTGCTCTCTAGAGTGGAATACTGTTTCACAATGACAGCTCCCTTTCAAAGCTGGTGAAATTGCTGACCTGGAGAGCGTGCAGAGATCCTTTACTGCTAGAATCCACTCGGTAAAACATCTAAACTATTGGGAACGACTAAAATGCCCAAATCTGTATTCTCTTGAGCACAGGTGGGAGAGATACATAATAATTTACACGCGGCAAATACTAGAGGGGGTTGGTCCCAAACCTGCACACAGAAATACCACCACATGAGACCAGGAGGCATGGCAGGATGTGCAGAATACCATATTCTTCCGTTTTGTCCTGGTCATTACTACCTGAAAAGGCCTGGAGTCGTCTTGTCTGTCATCCTCACTCACTACATCCTAGTTTACAACTTTCAAGAGCACACACATCCGTCTGCCACCTGTTACGTACCCTTATAAGACACGTAAGTAAATATATTAATATGTACATTTATAATTGTATGTAAATTACAAGCATGTATATTGTTATACTTATATGTTCTATGCAAATGCACATTCATGTTACAGTGTTGGCGTTAGGCCCAGCGTATCGTGGGAATGATTGTTTATTTCTTTGTGTGATCAGTTTTCCCACGGGAACTAATGATTTATATGTGATCATAAGTGGGTAACAGAGCGAAATAATAATTGAGTGAACTGTATCTGGCAAATTGTCGTGGGATCGTCCGTTGCTGGGTGTGCATGCCATTATTTCTTTCTGTATGCATATTTTAATTACTATGTAAAGAAACAAGTACTTTAGTTTTGTGTATATCAATGTGTACTAATTATTCATTAAGTTAGTTTAAGATTACTCTTGTCACAATGTATTGCTCCATTGTTGAAATAATAAATATTGTAACTTTGGCAATTTATTCGCGGGGCAAGGCAATCTGTTTTTTGACTCGCATTTTGTTGTTCAGTAGCTGGACGGGAACCAGGGAGAAAACATCTTGGAGTTAAGTCATTCTTTTGTTTCTGTCATAGCCATATATATATTATTATTGATTTAATGTCTGGAAGATACAGTGATATTTTTAATGTGATATATTGTGACCATATAATCATCTGTTTGCTTTTGAGATTTATTTAATATAATTTTATATATATATACTTATTGTCTTTATTCTTCAGTCCTATGAAGATTCTATTTTTGTGCTCATTACTTATTAAGAGGTTATACTGGTGATTCGCTATTGAGAACAGCAGTTGTGTCGTATCCCTAGACTTATTAAAGTTTGGCTGCTGTAGGATCACGAGCCTTAACGTACGATAGGTAACACCACCAAGGTTGGAATAGGACTTGAGGAGGTAATTGATTGATGATTGATGAAGATTAAGCCACCCAAAAGGTGGCACGGGCATGAATAGCCCGTAAGTGGTGGCCCTTTTGAGCCATTACCAGTATCAATAGATGATACTGGAGATCTGTGGAGGAGCGACTGCTTTTTTTTCTTTACTTTTTGAGGAGGTAGTTGGTCAGGTGAAGATTAAGCTGTGTGGTATGGGGGGGGGGCGGGGTAGGTAGTCAGGTAGAGGGGGTTTCTTTACCAGCGTATTGAATACTCACATGGTAAATACTGGTGGGCTGCTGGTTATACATCGTAGAGCTGTTCCGACAAACATCAGAGCAGCGCTGCTTACCACAACAACCCGGAGGCCACACCGTTGTGTCACCCAACATATGGGAAACAGAAACACCAGAAATATTATGGTGCCCCAATTTGCCATCATGGCCACTGTAGAAGGCCCCCATCCCGGGAATACAGCATTCATACTTTCAGCGATTGGTCCCCATGTGTTCCATTGGACAGCCTGGCAAAAATATAACATCTGATTATTTTGGTTGTATTTTAAACGTTATTTTTAACATTTATTTTAATTTTTTTTATCAAAGGTGCCTACAAGTACAGTTAACAGATAAAATAACAGAGATTAAAAAATTTCATGTTTAATAATAGGTCTGAAATAAGACAATCATACCTTGTTTGAAGAACCGTTACTCCTTAAAAGGCCGTGCGATGTGCGCATGACTGTTTTGCCATATGTTGCCTTACAAACGAACCTTATAGCCGTTGTAACACATGTAGGGATGAAAAAATTCTTCAGCTGATTTGTCAACAGGTCTCTCGCACCCGAAAGAATTAGAGGGGAAAGCGACATTCTCTCTCTGTGGCCACATAGCCTTTGTGAGTAGTGTTGTGTGTGGTGTCGACCTCCCGCAACCCCAAAGGAGGCTACAAGTAATTTTGTATGATCCACCTGGTGAGTTTTAAATATATCTTGATGCTAAAGTTATGTCGTTTTTGTGTTTAAAGCTTTTTTTTCAGGGATATTCCTGCGCGGGCCCTAAGCCTCTGGCTGGCCCACTAAGCGTTGCTTGTTTCTGTTTTACTTGGGCGGAGTATGAGTATTTATGACTCGTATGGTCGGTTCAGTAAGATTTTGTCCCATGTGTTTAACAACTTCTGCTCTGTTTAATCTAAGTTGAAATCTTAATGGGTTTGTAACTCTGCGCTGTGTTAGATAATGTTCCAATGGTCTGTCGGGCATTTCTCCACAATGCTTGTTTATAACTGTATGTTAATGCCTTTAACGACCTTTTATTCATTCAGTGTAACTTAGTGGCCATCCGCACAAGGTACACATAAGTTTTAGTGATGGTTATATTGGAAGATTCGCAAATTCAAAAATGCAAGGTAGTATAATGAAAATAATGCTACTCATAATCGCTTTTAATAAATTTAATTTATTATACACCCCATACACATTCTTTGAGTGGTAGTGGCAAAGTTTATGGTGGTACATAATGGGCTCAGGAAGTGAACCCCTAAATTCATTTAGTTATGTAAGTTACAGCATTGATGAACTAGTTACAAAGTTTGTTAAAATATACATAAACAGTCTAAAACACAGTTTAGCAAACTAACATAGTTGTGACTCCAAGAGGTCTACACTGTTCTTCAATCCTACTAATGGCAGGGCTGGAGCAGCACTCACTGTAATTAGGAAAAAAATGTCTTTCAAAACGAAAGTGAAAGGTCGTATTGAGAACTATTCCCCTTTAACGCAAGCAGAGTTAACAGCCATTTTTATAGCATTGCGATACCTAGAAAGAAGCACAAAAAGAGTAGTGATCTGTACTGCTTCGAAAACTGCACTACAAAGCCTTAAGAAAAAGGACAGAAAACCGAGGGACAGTTTGAAATCAAGAGAGCTGTGAAAATACTAACCAATCAGGGAAAGGTGATCAAGTTCCTATTGAGCCCAGTTACGACCAGGGCGGTTATGGGACAGGCGCAACAAGTTGTGCTGTTCCTTCAAGTATCAATCAATTCACCATTATTGTACCCGTGCCACTGATTGTAATTATAATTTGTATTATTTTTGTCTATGCAACTCATATACCCCTTTGATGTTCATATAGAGGGCTCTGTGAGAGGATCTATTGGGAGTAAGATTCCCCCCACCTTTCACCCGCAAGGTAACGCAAGTTTTGGGGATGGTAAATTAATCTTATTGTTAAATAAACTGTTTGTTTGGACATATTGACTACAAGTGACAGTATGAACAGCCCAGCGGAATTTTTTTCCTATTGGGGGCGTTGCACATGTTGTTATGAAGGTCATAGCAGAATGGCACACTAACAGGATGAGTCGTGCTGCTCAATAAACCCACACTTAAGGACAAAATTTAACCATCGAGTGAGTCTTATTTAAATTAGTATAAGGACCCCATACCCGTCTTGTGGGTGAATGGCAGAAAAGTTTGAAAGTTGTTTAGTGTGGAAAACATTTGTGCACATAAATTCGAGAATCCCATAAAGACCACATTGTCCTCTTCCCCTACTGCCGGTTCCCGCCCATCATGCCAGGACAGACAAGATGCTTGGCTGCTGTCTGTTTTGCGTCTCGGGATGGATTAATGTTTTGGTATACTATATAAATAGTTTTTAATTATAATTTACCTTTGTATAATGAATGCAAGATAACATTATTTTTCAATAGCACAGGTCAACACTCACATGGTGGATGCATAAGGAAGAGAAGGTGAATAGGATCCAATATCTGGTTACATAGGTACGGGTGGGAGCTGGAGGAACGTCGATGGGAATAGGCTGTGCGTCCCCAAAGCTCTGGTAGTAAGGTAGTGTCCCATTTGTTGCCGTTTTTAAGGCTGTTCTCTCTGTGCTGCGAACGCTGTCTGATTACAGAAAGGATTAAATAAATTCATATTATGAAGAGGAATTCTTATTTTCCTTACATTCAGTTGAGGGAAATTATGCCTGACGAACCTACTGAAGTTTAATGACAAAGCAACAAAAATATGACAAGATGGTGACGTTGGGGCAGATTGTGTATTTCTGGACTGCCAAGAAGCTTTTGACACAGTTCTACATAGGATGGTACTGTATAATTATAAACTTGAGAGGCAAGCATGAGTAAGTGAAAGATCACTGACATGGTATACCAAGTTTTCTTTCACCGTAAGAGTAGTGGGAAGATAGAATGAGCTAAATAAGCAGGTTGTAGAAGCGAACTCCATTCATAATTTCAAAAGTAGATTTGATAGAGGAATAATGTAGGCGTCATTGCAATAGGCTAGGAAAGCGGCCTCCAAGGCAACCTCTTACTAATTACGTCGCTTTTCGTTCAACTAAGGCCAAAAATGGCCGTAATTGAAAAAAAATCGGCTCACGAAATTGGCGTACTGATCCGTTTTCTGTTTTGGGTCCTTACGCTTACTCGGTTAGATTAGGAGATGATTGATGAAGATTAAGCCACCCAAAAGGTGGCACGGGCATGAATAGCCCGTAAGATTAGGAGAGGAAACTTTCAATTAACTGTTTTCATGAAGTTTTGAAACTTTAGAGAACTTCCTGCCCCCTTAACCTACCAGAGGACCTTTAACTTGCTGTTTTGGAAAAAAAATTATAAAGTTATTGTCAATTATTTGTAATTTTCAAATTACGACCTTTTTGGCCATAGCGCCTACGAGCGAAAAGCGACGTAATTCGTATGTGGACGGTTTAAGCTCGATGCTACAAGCACAAATAATTGAGTATACACACACACAGGGGGCCGGTGGCTAACTGGACAGCACGCTGGACGCGTGATCCTGTGGTCCCGGGTTCGATTCCCGGCGCCGGCGAGAAACAATGGGCAGTTTATTTCACCCTGATGCCCATGTTACCTAGCAGTAAATAGGTACCTGGGAATTAGTCAGCTGTCACGGGCTGCTTCCTGGGGTGTGTGGGGGGGGGGGGGGAATTGTAGTTAGTAACAGTTGATTGACAGTTGATTGACAGTTGAGAGGCGGGCCGAAAGAGCAGAGCTCAACCCCCGCAAGCACACCTAGGTGAATACAGGTCTAAATACCACCATAACATCTTTCCTGATAATGTCATTCAAGCTTTGAACTAACGAAAACATCTTTATATCACAATATATTAGTATAATTTTGGCTTACCTTTTCTCTCTGGAGGATGGTTAACGTGTACCAATCTAGGCGGGGCAGCTTCACTGCATTGACAAAGGTATTCGCTCATCTTGAATGCTTTCTCTTGTTGACCGATGCACTGGAGCCCGATTATCTGGTGTCATTGAAGCAGGCACCGTCACCTCACATCGAACTGGGGAAAATAATTTTTAATTTGTTAAAGATTTAGTTGGACCACAGACACTACCCATCCCCAGCGAGAGCACTTCACACAAAAGAAAGGCCAATGTAACTCTTATGAGACTAGGTTATAAGGTATATGGTGTTCCTTTGAGACAGCCCATTGATACAGAAAATTCAATAGTTGATCTGCGGTGAAATTAACAGACTAATGGTACTTGGATGAAATCATATGTCAGATCGAGAACTGGAGCATAAACAAAATGGCCGCCTCTGCAGACTTGTGAGAATGAACAAATCCACAAGGGCCGTGACGAGGATTCGAACCTGCGTCCGGGAGCATCCCAGACACTGCCTTAATCGACTGAGCTACGACAGGGTAAAAGGGTTGAAACCGAAGTTCTCTGAACTTACTAACAGTTCATTTGATGCATCACGTTAGTGTGATCTCTGTGTGTATTGTGAGAATGAAATAAGGAAACTGGAATAAATGATTTCTCTGTTTAAGAAGACACCAAGGAACCCATAAACATCTGATATAGACTTGAGAACTAAAAGTGATGAAAGATTGAATCCTTCAGGAGACAGTCGTGGGAAACTACGCAATGACATTAAGTCATTAAAATTTAGTAGGAAATCAGACATAGTAGACAAAGAAAATCAGTTAACTGCACACTCAGATCTATTACAAAAAAAAATCGGAAAAATGGAAACTTTTTCACTCAATGATAATAATTATATAACTGATTCACCAATGCTGTAATTTGCATTACAAAACGAATATTGGGGCTCAGTTCCTGCACATTATGAATTCGAGGCACGAATTCCGGTGTATTATATCGGAATGAATTTAACTACAGACATCTCTGTTAAATATATTTTCGTGTTATTTATAGTACTCATGGGCTCTGTTAGGTGAGGGTAGGTTACTTGCAATTTGGTTTTCTCAGTTAGATTAGCTTTTGAGTATGCTAGGTTAGGTTAGATTCCATTTAGTTTAGTTAAGATTAGCAAAACGCGGCTGGCTTACTCACAATCATCACGTTATTCAACATCTTAATGAATTTCATCACAAATATTGAGTTTTCGGAAGGAGTATAAGTGGAATATGCGGTTGGCCTATTGGCTCGTGTGTGTGTGTGTGTGTGTGTGTGTGTGTGTGTGTGTGTGTGTGTGTGTGTGTGTGTGTGTGTGTGTGTGTGTGTGTGTGTGTGTGTGTGTGTGTGTGTGTGTATACTCACCTAGTTGTACTCACCTAGTTGTGTTTGCGGGGGTTGAGCTCTGGCTCTTTGGTCCCGCCTCTCAACCGTCAATCAATCAACTGTTACTAACTACTAATTAACTAATTTTGATTTGTTTTATTTATTTATTCCCCCCCACACGCCCCACACACACAAGAAGCAGCCTGTAGCAGCTGTCTAACTCCCAGGTACCTATTTACTGCTAGGTCTTCGGGCAGGTCTTCGGGCAGGATGTGCCGAATACCCCCATTGAAAAGCAGAGGTGCAACAGGTACTCTGAGGGAGAGCTCTATCAACATCAGAGGCCCGAGACTCTTCAACACGCTTCCACTTCACATAAGGGGCATAACTGGCCGACCCCTCACAGTGTTCAGGAGAGAACTTGACAAACACTTCCAAAGGATACCTGATCAACCAAGCTGTGACTCATGTCAGGCTGCGTCCAACAGCCTGGTTGACCAATCCAGCAACAAGGCCTGGTCGACGACCGGGCCGCGGAGTCGCTAAGCCCCGGAATCACCTCAAGGTAGGTAACAGGGTCATCAGGGTTAAGGAAACTGCCCATCTGTCTCCGGGAGCAGGGATCCGCCGGGTGCGGGGATCGAACCCTGGTCCCTAGGTCCACGAGTCTAGAGCACTCGGCCACTCGGCCACCCAGCCCCACCTAGTGTGTGTGACCGAAAAGGTGAGATCTAGCACGAATCTTCTCTATTTTCCTTACATTTTTCTTAACGAAAAGTTAACGTCCCAAATAGACGTCAACTTCCTTCTCAATTTTACGGAAAATAGAAAAGATTCGCGGCAGAACAATTGATTTTCAACTGTTCGGTCACCTTCAATAATTATATATATATATATATATATATATATATATATATATATATATATATATATATATATATATATATATATATATATATATATATATATATATATATTATTAAATATGACCGAAAAAGTAAGATTAATAATTCTAACACGAATTTTCTCAATCTTTCGTACATTACGCTTCACTGTTGGAGGTAAATCAAAAATCACTTCTCCAAAATTCATTTTTATTTCTAGTCTGACGCGACACGGGCGCGTTTCGTAAAACTTATTACATTTTCAAAGACTTCACAAATACACAACTGATTAGAACTTACGTCTCTCTGATATTATATCTACATTTGAGTGAGGTGGGAAGGGTGATGTGGCATTAACACAAGACAGAACAGGAGGGGATATTAATAGGGTATTAAAAGTATCAACACAAGACAGAACAGAAACAATGGGTATTGAATAGAAGTGTTTGTAGAAAGCCTATTGGTCCATATTTCTTGATGCTTCTATATTGGAGCGGAGTCTTGAGGTGGGTAGAATATAGTTGTGCAATAATTGGCTGTTGATTGCTGGTGTTGACTTCTTGATGTGTAGTGCCTCGCAAACGTCAAGCCGCCTGCTATCGCTGTATCTATCGATGATTTCTGTGTTGTTTACTAGGATTTCTCTGGCGATGGTTTGGTTATGGGAAGAGATTATATGTTCCTTAATGGAGCCCTGTTGCTTATGCATCGTTAAACGCCTAGAAAGAGATGTTGTTGTCTTGCCTATATACTGGATTTTTTGGAGCTTACAGTCCCCAAGTGGGCATTTGAAGGCATAGACGACGTTAGTCTCTTTTAAAGCGTTCTGTTTTGTGTCTGGAGAGTTTCTCATGAGTAGGCTGGCCGTTTTTCTGGTTTTATAGTAAATCGTCAGTTGTATCCTCTGATACAACTTATATACAGATAAATATACAAAATACAAAATACAAATATACAAAATACAGATAATCGTCTGTATTTACTATAAAACCAGAAAAACGGCCAGCCTACTCATGATATATGAAAGTCAGAAAGTCAGAGTCTGTTTCCTGTGCCTTGTATAGTGACTGTTGTGAGCCTCTTGTTGAATCACTTGTGACAAAAGATTATTGATGTGTGTATTTGTGTGGGTGATTAAATATGTGTATATGCATACTGTATATGTATACGTATGTATATGTACATGTATGCATGAGTATGTGTACATGTATATCTATATAACATTAATAATTTTGTAACTAGCGTCAAAAAAATGTTATTTGCTTAGCCAAACGAACTAGAGGGTTCAGTTCCTGAACCGATTATGTGCCTCTGTAATCCTTTACACCACCGCCCATGGGATGGGTACGGGGTGCATAATAAAGAAATTGAATTCTTAGAAAGCTAAATTTTTAACTTTCTCTTCTCCTTCCTTTCCTGATTCTATTGTAACCACAATAACAAGTTATATATATATATTTACCTCTTGAAAAGTAAATCATCCAGTAGCAGCTGTGTGTGTTGACATCCAGAGCGATACGTCTCGTCTCCATCACCGGTAGAATAAGACTAATCCTTATTCACGGAGTAACGACCTTCGTATTGTCCCAAACTGTTGCCATCAGCCTTCTGTAAATTTCCGTTACATTTAACTAGATTAATGCGCAATGCCCTGTAATTAGCCTAGCTTAACAATTTTAAGTGCATGGTTCATAGAAAACACATTTTGTAGCTAAGAGATAAATATAACATGTTTGCGAGGATAATAACACTATAGAAAATTGGGTTTGAGATATTGGCGCCTGCGCCAACACGTGACCCACCACGAATAAATGGACTGCGTAACAGAAATTTGTTGTATAGCCAACAAGGAGACACTGATCCAGATAAGGATAAGGCAGTACACTCGGGTTCGTTCCTGACTCACATTCGCGAATTCTGGGTGTGGTGAGGGTCAGTAATATAACCTCGGGGATGGGGGTTGACCTAGATATAATCCTAGCATGTATATGTGCACTATCTTCCTGTAACCCGATAGAAAAAGTTACAACCCCGCTCCTGTGCCAAGTAAGTCCACTACGGGGTCACCACAGCCCGTGCTACTTTGAACTTTTTGTTCCCAGTAGCTGAATCTTAAACAACAACAACAATGTAACCCGACACAAACGATACACAATCCCTCCGACAATTATTATTAGTATTGATAAAATCAACACGAGCCGAGATGAGGGTTCGAACCAATACACAGAGTCTTACTCGGTGTATTGAAAGAGGAGCGTCAGAGGTTCCCGTGGTATAGTGGTAAGACACTCGCCTGGCGTTTCCCGAGCACTTTGTCCTGGGTTCGTATCCTGGCTGGGGAGGATTTACTGGGTGTCAATCCTTAACTGTAGCCTCTGTTTACCCAACAGTAAAATGGGTACCTAGTTAAATGATTTGGCGGGTCGTATTCCGGGAACATAGGATTAAGGACTTCCCCGAAACGCTACGCGTGATAGTGGTTGTACAAGAATGTAAGAACTCTTATATATATAAATAATAATAATAATAATTCGTGGATAACAGAGGCAGAGTGCAGGGGGGGGGGGGGGAATGTGTGAAAATCCCGGTCAGGCTTCAGTGGAAGCCTCAGAAAACCCTTATCTTGAGGTTATCTTGAGATGATTTCGGGGCTTTAGTGTCCCCGCGGCCCGGTCCTCGACCAAGCCTCCACCCCCAGGAAGCAGCCCGTGACAGCTGACTAACTCCCAGGTACCTATTTACTGCTAGGTAACAGGGGCATTCAGGGTGAAAGAAACTTTGCCCATTTGTTTCTGCCTCGTGCGGGAATCGAACCAGTGCCACAGAATTACGAATCCTGCGCGCTATCCACCAGGCTGCGAGGCCCCCTTGAGCTCAATAGAACTCCAGGATTCAATCATGTTCTTATTTTACCTATTCGACATGGGGAAGGACTTGAAGGAGCATGTACTACTTTCTTTTTCACCTCATCCCTAAACTCTACCTTGCAAATCGTTATTCAAACCTCACAACAAAACTTCAACAGACATGGTATCGAAAGTCACTAAGAATGTTCACAAAATCGATAACAGGAGCAAGACAAACCACATTATCACACCGTAATCATAACACCACTGCCCTTAACACCCGTCTTACTAGACGTGTTGTGACAGCTCACATCCACCCAGCTATCGCTCTATCAATATTCTCCTAGTTGTAACAGTAAATCTGAAACAATAGGAGTCGCCAAATATATTAAAAACTCAGATCTCCTCCGATTTACAAGCACAACTACCAGAAATGAAATAAAATAAAAGTATTTATCTCTCAAAATTGAAATTCTAGAGGATTCAGCCATGTCTACCATGACAGAAACACAAGAAGAAATTCCCGTTTATATTCAATCACAACCTATCCTCTCAAATAATACACCGTAGTTTGACGTATAAATCTTCTAAAGCCTAAAACTTATGTAATAAAAATCATAACGGTTCTCAAAATTGACGTGATGTCCCGTTTTCTATTCGTGCGTCCTCGGTTAGGCTAGGTTCGGGCAATTTAGTACATTAGTTTGGTGACGTTGTGAACGCCGGAGAGGTCGGGCTGATAGCAGTGCTCTACTCTGCTCACTCACTGTTGGGCGGAAAAAAATCGGGTGAATTCTCCGGCCGGAACAAAAATGGGTGTGCACGTTTCCTTTCACGTATTGCTTCTGTTCACCTAGTAATAAATAGTTACCCGGGAGTTAGGCAACTATTGTGGGTTGCATCTTGAGGATGGTCAGTCTGAGGATGGCTTAGGGGGGGGGGGGGAATGGCTCTCTCTCTCTCTCTCTCTCTCTCTCTCTCTCTCTCTCTCTCTCTCTCTCTCTCTCTCTCTCTCTCTCTCTCTCTCTCTCTCTCTCTCTCTCTCTCTCTCTCTCTCTCTCTCTCTGTCTCTCTCTCTCTCTCTCTCTCTCTCTCTCTCTCTCTCTCTCTCTCTCTCTCTCTCTCTCTCTCTCTCTCTCTCTCTCTCTCTCTCTCTCTCTCTCTCTCTCTCTCTTTTTTCCCGACTGTTGAGTGATTTTCTTGCATTGATTCAAGCTTACACCGTTGTTCCTTGTTCGTGTTGTATGACCATTTGAAGAAATGGTATGGGTCAGTATCTTCCAAATTGTTCAGTATTTTAAAAGATTCAACGAGAAAGTCTGTTTGTTTACTCAAAGTAGGCGGCCAGACGCTTGAGGCTAGGCTCACGAAGCTTTGCAGGGTAACAGTCTGAGTTACGGGCAGTACATAGGATGGGCGTGGTAGAGTCGCATGTCCCCTATGCACGAAATGGCAAATTCCACTAATTTCCAAGAATGATAAAAAGCTAACCTCACTAGGCCTCATCTAGCATATTAGTCAATCTACCCACATGTGCCTTAATGTTAGTTAACATGGAAGGTGGTGAAGGTAGTATTGGAACAACGGAAAAAGAGTGGGGGGGGGGGAGGGAAATAGGGAAAGAGATGACAAAGGGGGGAGAGTGGGAAAGAAGGGGGGAGGGGGGAAAGGGGATCAGGGATCTAAAGAGAGACCCGAGTGCAGCCGGTTACCCCATTTAGTATATATATATATATATATATATATATATATATATATATATATATATATATATATATATATATATATATATATATATATATATATATATATATATATATATATATATATATATATATATATATATATATATATATATATATATATATATATATATATATATATATATATATATATATATATATATATATATATATATATATAACTGTGGCTGTGTGGCACTGTCTTTTAAATTACATTTAAATTGTATAATATAAATAAACGAAGTTTTGAAGTGTTCATATCGTGCGAACGTCGAGTAACCTAGCTGTAGCCACGTGTAGGTAAGGTAGAGTGCCACGAGGGCTGATTGCTATGTTATAGCTATCAGCCCTCGTGGCAATATATATGTGTGTGTATATATATATATATATATATATATATATATATATATATATATATATAATCAGATATGTAACTGTATAACCTTGCATAATAAAGTGTACATCATAATAAAAAAAAGGGGGTGGTAGGAGAAGTGAACACTCTTTCGTATTCAGAGTTAAATGTCAAGTTTTTCCCTGAGTGCTCTGTGTTCCCTTCTCTGAGGCTGTGGGTCCCTATAATTGCACCAGTGGTGGTACCCCCCTATATATATATATATATATATATATATATATATATATATATATATATATATATATATATATATATATATATATATATATATATGCGTGTGTGTGTGTGTGTGTGAGTGATACTGTACCTCCCTATAGCTTATAGTGAGGTATAGTGCCTGCATGCTGGGTATAGTCACTTTAGCAGCTGACACTACAGTGCCACCCATATGAGGTGCTGACTGGTATATAATAATAATAATAATAATAATAATAATAATAATAATAATAATAATAATAATAATAATATTTATTTACAAGAAGGTACAATGGGTATGTGAGATTACATAAAACTGATGTTTTTTTACATTCTTGCAGAACCACTAACACGCATAGCATTTTCGGGCAGTTCAAGTTTCAGGCATAATAAAGAACTATATATATATAGCCTGTACTAGATACATTTATAATAATAATATTTTAATAAATCATAATTATTTATAAGTACTGCACATGTAGCTATGATAATATAAGCTAGATTGGCGCGATCTATACACTGTATTTATACCCAAAAAGTATTGTTATAATTATACAGCATTGCGATATAATACATGCACAAAAGTGTATATCCTGAAACAGTGTATTACATCAACGTTTGTATTATTTTTTACCCAATTATTGTTATATCATTTAGTGCGTGGGGTGAGGTTGGCAGCTCTGGGTGATGATCTGGCAGGCTGGAGGCGCCTCTCCCATCACTGGCTTTGTTGACATTGGGGTGTGAGGGGCGGGCCCGCGCCTCACCCAACCTTCAACATGGCCCAGTTCTCAGCCTTCTCGCGTGCCATACATTGTTATTTTCTGATTTTAAGTGTCGTGGGCATCCAGGGAGCAGTAAATCAAAACGAAATGAAAGAATCAAGTATTACGGTGGTTCTTCTGGCGAGAAACAAGGAGCACACTCTCCCGTACTTCTTGACGCTGTTCGAACGATTGGAGTACCCGAAGAAGAGAATGGCTCTCTTTATTCGGTCTGATCATAATAATGACAGGACTATTGCCATATTGGAAGATTGGTTGAAGCATCATAAGCATAAATATCATTCATGTGATGTCAAGCTAGACAAGGCGTCTAAACAGTATCCCGGGGACTCGAAAGGCACCGAGTGGAGTCAAGAGAGATTCAACAACATTATTCAAATGAAGGAAGAAGCCTTAGCACTTGCAAGGCACATGTGGACAGATTATATCTGGTTTTTAGATGTGGATGTTTTTCTAACAAGAGGTGACATCATTCAAAGTATGATATATGAGGAGAAAGCCATAGTTGCACCCATGTTAAATTCGCTTGCTACCTACAGCAACTACTGGGGAGGCATGACCAAAGATTATTGGTACACACGTTCAGATGACTACATTCCAATACTGGATAGAAAGCAGAAGGGATGCTTTGCTGTTCCAATGGTTCATTCGTGTGTCTTTATTGACTTGAGAAGGAGAATATCAGATAAGCTCACCTTTTCCCCAATGAATGTTAGTAACTACAATGGCCCTAATGATGATATCATTACCTTTGCTATCTCTGCAAGAAATGCAGGAATTGAAATGTATGTGTGCAACTCTGAAGTATATGGCTTTATTCCCCCTCCACTGGATGATGACCAACACTTGGATGTTGATTTGAAACAGCTACTAAGCATTAAGTTGGAAGTTCTTATAGAACATCCACCATTGCCTGTATCAACATTATTAGCAAAGTATGTCCCTCCACTGCCCAAGAAAGATAAAGCTGGATTTGATAAGATATATCTCATCAGTTTAACTCGAAGACAAGAAAGACGTGAGCGAATGAGTCGCTGCTTCGATGAATTAGGACTTGACGTCAAGTTATTTGATGCAGTGGATGGGAAAAAGTTAAATGAAAGTTACCTGAGACAGCTTGGAGTAAAGCAGATGTCAATTTACAAGGATCCATGGTCACAGCGTGACATGACTTTTGGCGAGATAGGCTGCTTTCTTAGTCATTACTTTATCTGGGAAGATATAGTTAATAATGGCTATGAAAAGGTAGGTTAAGTATTGTACATACAGTGATGCTCACATACTTTGAATAAGCCTCCAGTTCAAAGTATTTACCATAACATTATACTATACTGTATATATATATATATAATATATATATATATATATATATATATATATATATATATATATATATATATATATATATATATATATATATATATATATATATATATATATATATATAACACACACATACATACATACATACATACATACATACATACATACATACATACATACATACATACATATACATATACATTATATATATTTTTTAACACCATTTGCAAGTACAGAAACTTAGTATATCACACATGACCAGGTTGAATCATCTGTGCATCACCAAGTTCAAAGGCAGTTGCTATTTAGTGTAAATTTAATTTTAGTCACTACATTATTGAATTAAGGTCATAAAAGTACTATATATTCTAATTCAATATAGGAATTTCCTAGTAGATTTAGGTCAGAGTACTGTACTGTATTTTAAAGCATAACCTAGCATATAATATACAGTACATTAGGACTAATGAAACATAATGTGTAGTGTGTGAGAGGACACAATAATAAGTGGGTTATACCATAGTTTTTATTATAATAATCTGTACTATATTAGAAATTATGTGACTGAAATGCCAGTGTATAAAATTACCATATTCCTACTGATTTAGGGTCATACAGTTATATACTAAGTTTGGTATTGGGACAGATTATCCCTTTGTCATCTAGCCTCTTCCAGTTACCACACTTTGAGGTTACAGTACTTTGAAGTTTTCAGAGGATCAATGTTCCTACACCCTACCTCTTGAATGAGCTTCCTGGTTGATGGTGAGGTCAACCAGGCTGTTTGATTTATCTGATGCAACCTGTTTTCTGATTTAATTCAGGGGCACTAACCCTAGTGGCCTTGACAAGGACAGGAAGCCGGCGGCTTGTTGTGCCCCCATTTGTTTTGACGATCTTTTCAAGGTATATTTATACCTGTTTGATGCAACTGTATGCCGTTTCTTGTAGGAATCGCAGCCAGTTTGAAAAGCTATCCTTTGAAGGGGTTTTGTGTTTGAAGGTATTTTGTTAAGTTCACTCGAATGCTGGAGATTGACAAGGTCTAATTATGCCCCTTTATATTTCAGAGGGAGGTTGTTGAAGGGCCTTGGGCCCCTTAGTATTTACACTTTTAGAATTGTTTCAGAGTACTCTTTACATCCCTAATTTTCAATGAGCTATTTTTGCACATTCTGCCAAACCTCCTGGTCTCATATGAAATTACTTATATGAATGTATAAATTGGGAACCAATCCCTCTTAATATTTTCCAAATGCAAATTGTGATTTATGAATCTTGAATATGCACTCCAGGGAGTACAATTTGATGAATTTTGTGGTCCCAGTATTGAATGTTTTATTGAATGAATTCAGAAGGTAAAGTTCTATGTATGTTCTCCAGATCAGCAGCTTCTCCAGGTTTGAATGGGAAAATTAATTTGTGACAGCATTCCACCCTACATAATACATGTACATGTTTCCTAAATACTGTAGTACCATAACTTTTTCATATCTCTTATTTGAAACGTTTTTTGTTATCCAGCCAATCATTTTTCTTGCAGTTGTGACATAATTACTCAAATGTCTTTTATGAGTTAAGTTTAGTTAAGTAAAGGCTAGGGGAGTACTGTATTGGTATTTTAGATTTGAAGCAAGTGTAAAGATAAGTGATAAATGTGATAAATGACATTAGACTAACCTGTACAGTACTGGATACAGTATTAATATTAAGTTGAAATGCAGTATTCTCAGGTAGAATTGTGCCACTGAATACAGTATACTGCATATTCAGATTAATATACAGTATAAAATATAGTCATATTTAATCTTTACAGGTGTTATTGTTTGAAGATGATATTCGCTTTGAACCTTATTTTAGAGAAAAAGTGAAGCATATGATTCGCCAGGCTGACAGACTCCTTCAGTGGGACCTTATTTATCTTGGGCGCAAAAAGCTAAAAAATTCGGATGAACCATGGGTAAGTTATTTGATAGCTTTTCTTTGCATGCTCATGTTGGTATTAAAATAACTGTTTTGTACCCAACGTTTGAGTGTTGGGTACAACACCCCAACTTGTAGGGTGCTTACAGGGTTATGTTTTAGCTCCTAACCCTGCATTTTCAACTATCAATTAATGTGATGTCTTTTCCACCTCCATGAAACTTATTATATTTGCCTTTGAAGTTGTGTGTATGTAGATGTTGTTTCAACATCATATACATTCATTTTATTTTGCAACTCTTATGCTAAACAAAAACATCTTGACATATTTGTGACTTGTTTACATTTCCAGTTTCTATTGTTGCCCCCACAGTCCTCTGTTAGCCATTTGGAACATTGCTTCTTTGTTTCACTTTGTTGATTCCCCTTAGAATCTTGTTTGTTGCCATCATGTCTCCCCAACTCCTCCTGTCGTCAAGCATAATAAGATCCAGTTCTCTGACTACACTGGATACTATGCAATCAAAATTAAACCGTATAATTTAAATGGGGGGCCTATCAAGAGAAAGATAAAGCTAAAGAATAACATTACTACAGTAGTTTTATTGCTAATGCTTCTAGAAATAAATCCCAATATTCTATTTGCCCTATTTTGATCATTTACGGATTTATTTTTGGCTTTAGATATTTACTTACCATGACTTGGCTCTTTTTGTAGATGATGAATCACAATAACGTATGTGGCTGAAGAAATTATATCCAAACCACAACTCTGTACATGGAGAAGCGACGACGTTTTGGTTCATCCTGGACCATTATCAAGTCGTGTGATCTTTTCAGATCATAGTCAGATCTTTTTTGGATTCAGATTTTCAATTTAAACTTTATCTAACTGATATTCTTTAACTTTATTATCATTACTTGGCCTCATAACCTTAATTTTCCAGCATAAATATGCATCTACCAATTTTTTCTCCATTTCAAAATGCTATCTAGATTGTCTGGAAGTGATTTTGAGTCTATAGTTCTCACTTTTAAAATAGGTGGAAGACTCTGACACATTGGTACATGTGGACTACTCCTACTGGACGCTCTGCTACGTTATCACTCTGCAGGGCGCAAAGAAGCTCCTTGATGGCGAGCCTCTTGGCCAACTTATACCTGTTGATGAATACCTTCCAATTATGTTTAATAAACATCCTGAGGTAAATATTTATCAAGTTTAGATTTAGGTTAGAGCATAGCTCTCGCATGTTTAGTTCAATGTAGTAATGATACCTAGGTATGACTCGGTATGCAATTTCTCTAAAAGCTAATTTTTTTGTTATCTTTCCTGAGATGATCTGTACATTGTTTCATTGTTTCACTGTAAAAGAGTAATGTATAGTTTTTATTGTATATTGATGATGGTACTGATTGCAGACTGAATGGAAGGAAAAGTTTCCTGTCCGGAATTTGAATGCTTTCTCGGTGGCTCCCTTATATGTATACCCAACACACTATACTGGTGAACTGGGCTACATTAGTGACACTGAAGAGTCACCTATCATTCAGGATGCAGATGCTGCTACACCATCAATGGACTCCAGTTTGGAAGGTAAAGGACTGGAGCTAGAGGTTGGATTGAATGGGCTAGTGAAGGATGAGCTTTAAGTGTGCCTATTTATATACATTTTAATACAGCATAATTTACAGAATTCACATTACTGTATAGCAGATTGCCAAAGTTACTTGTATACATATAATTTACAGAAAAAATTAATAAATTTTTTTATCCAAATTTATATACAGTACTGCATAATGACTTTACATTCATGTTTACATTTAGTATTTACATACAGTATATTGCAGAGCAGTATATATTTATATATGCATCTATAAAAGTATATGTTAATTCAGTTTATAATCATTTTGATAAGAGAACAAAAATCTTGAACAGTTAATTAAAATAAATAAAATATATATACTGTAATATCAGCCAGTAGTATTTAAATTTTTTATGGTAGGTGCTTATTCATAATTTGTCTTGTATGTTCAGCCTTAAATTATTGAAAGTACAGTATACAGTAAATACAGTATATATAATAGAGTATATACAAGGCAAAGGCTTCGCTTATGATCAGTAAATGTTTCATTGTTTAAACATCAAGATGAAATGTAAATGGATGTAGTGCAAGGTGCATCCTGAACATGGCAAACACTATGTTAAGAATGATTGTCTTATATTTGCAGCTGTACGATATACAGTAGTTTGTACTATAATAGTGCGGTATTTAAATCATCAATTCTCCTCACTGAAGAGCATGTTACCAACATATATATATAATTTTTTTAATTATTATTCCTAATATAATTTTTTTTAATTGAATGGTTGAAATACAGTAGTATATGTAGTATACTGTAATGGTTTAAAAATATATTTTTACGGTAATGAATTACGTTTTATAAGTAAGCTGTCAAAATATTTTGTTCTGTTTTTTAAATACGTTGTTTAAATGATCTGACAGATTTTAAGATATCACAGTACAAATATACTTCATCTATGATTTTCTTTCTTTTGCTTAGTGATTGATGAATCTGTACTGTAATTTAGATTTTTTTCTATTTTATTCCAAATAAAGGTAAGATATAATTTTATAAGGTATCATTAAGGTACATTATATGGTTGTATTGAAATGAAGTTACTGTATTTAAGAGACAGACATATTTTCATTTGTTAAAAAACACTTAGGCAATTGGTTCTATACTTGGAGAGTTTTTAACAATCATATTGACCTGTTTTGATGCTAAACTTTGTCAAATTTGCCTCTTATTGTGTTTAACAGAGTTCTAGGCAAAAAAAAACCACACACACACACATGCATATATGTGTGCATTCATATAAACTGCATACATGTATAGTATAGTATAGTACAGTATATACGATACTTAAGTTGCCATATTAATGTTTAATTTGTATTTGTGCCTCAGAGATAGACAAGTAAGAGTTACAAATCACTTAACCCTTCCACTGCAGTATATATTTAGGGGGGTGTCTATTGTGTGCTATTTTTTTATGAAATTGAGCTAATGATGAGAAAATAAAGTACAAATTTTTATTTACCGAACTTTTTGGGTTTGGGCAGCCAACTCCCCACCACCCAAAAATATATATTTTTCTGAAAATATTCAGTAGTAAAGCATGTAGACCGTGGAAAATAAACAAACCCAAATCTAACTGTAATACTTTTGGCTTGCACAAATATACAGTATGAAATTTTTTCGCTGGGCCAGTGGGCGACCCGCCACACACCCCTAAGTTGGCTGAGCATTTCCCATGAGTGCGCACCCGTTCTAAAATGTTTATACTGTACTCTCTTTTTTTTCACCTTTCCCACCTCAATTTTTATGCTAAGTCATTCAATTTGGTATCAAATTATTCGCAATAGAATGTTGTAAAGGGATATTTGCATATAAGAACATAAGTCTCGCTTTTTTATAATTTTGATGAACACTCGATACCTTTTCCTTCATATGTGTTTCTTCATATGTGACGCCATTTGCATCATCGCGCACTCTGAATTTTGGTTCCGTGACAGAATATGTGGCATCAGGCAGCGAAAGTGTTAATTATTGTAGAGCTTTCTTAACCTGGCCCGCAAGCCAGATGGATCCTGTCCCATGCACATATTATATTTACACCTTCAAAGAATATATTTCCTGTGACTCAGTGTTGTTATTGTCACCTATTGACACAAGTTCATTCAGGGAGACCCAATTGTCATTATAGATAATTAAAGTAGCACCAATAACATCAGTAAAAGGAATATCCTTCTTCATAGCTACTGGAGCTATGTTGGAGCATGATGGGAGGGGTGACATGTTTCCCTTACTAAGGTTAGTTTGGCACTGATTACTTCCCATATTCATCTTATCATGGCTGCTGATTTCCTAGAGATCTCTTGTGGTCATACTCCAACCAAACAATTGCAGACTTTATCTACAGTGTCCATTATGTCTTGATGCTCACAGGCATGGGCTGCACACACCCCTGGAAGCCCTGATATGCTCAGGGGCATACCCCACAGTGGAAGGGTTAAGTTCTTCTGTTTTAAGGGAAGTGACTATCCTTACAAAACTACTCAAATGTCTCTATGAAAGTTATTTTGTAATGCCTATATAGGGTTTCATTGAGACATTTCAACTGCCTTTGACTTTTCAAGGTTTTGAAGGAATTTATAACTTTCCGTAAATCTCGTTCATACTTATTAGGAGAATTACAACCCACCGAAAGCAACTGAATCAAATTTTAGAAACTTAGGAAACATAGAGGGATTTTAACTGCATATCTTACAAATTAAAGAGACCTATTTGAGATAATGATAGCTTAACAATGATATATGATATAATCATTAATGCATTTAATAATTTCTGGGATCAAAATATTAATTTTGTTCATTAAAAAATATACATACATACAGTATTGCAAGAAAAATCACAAAAAACATGCGATTCAGTTATGCGTAACTATTTGTTAGGAAAGTGAAACAAAAATTCTGAACATTTTCATGTTTCACCACATTATCAAGGAAATACAGGCAGATGACATAAGGGTTTGGGACTATTTATCCAACTACACCTGGCTAGACATGGTGTAATCAGGTGTAGTTTAGCTTATGGATTTTTGTCAGGTCAGGTGTAGTTGGGTATATAATCCCAAACTCTTATGACATCTGCCTGTATTTCCTTGATAATGTGGTGAACACAAAAACATTCAGAATTTACATTTCATTTTCCTAGAGGATACTTTTATATATATATATATATATATATATATATATATATATATATATATATATATATATATATATATATATATATATATATATATATATATATATATATATATATATATATATATATAAATATATATATATATGTATATGTGTATAATATATGCGGAAAATCCACAGAGAAATATGAAATGAGGTGAACGTTTCGGCTGACAGTCTGGTGTTGACAACACCAGACTGACAGTCTGGTGTTGACAAAGGCTTTAACAAGCCAAAACGTTCACCTCATTTCATATTTCTCTGTGGATTTTCCGCATAAAATGATCAGTGTTTTGTGATCGTCAATTGCATGTATAAAAAAATATATATATATATATATATATATATATATATATATATATATATATATATATATATATATATATATATATATATATATATATATATATATATATATATATATATATATATATATATATATATATATATATATATATATATATATATATATATATATATATATATATATATATATATATATATATATATATATATATATATATATATATATATATATATATATATATATATATATATATATATATATATATATATATATATATATATATATATATATATATATATATAATATGTAGAAATTATAAAGGATATTGTGGCATTAGTACTCCCTCTACTATGTATTAGAGCTCAGCTAGTCAATTGGTGCTTTATTTTGTTTTGACCATGACAGGTTATTTTTGACCATAATTGTTTTAAATCATAGATGTAAAAATGTATGATATTTTGTAATATTATAGTTGATCTGGTCATTCATACTGTTGGTGCCTGCAGCTCACAGTTCAACACAGGTACCACAGCCTGGTTGATCAGGTATATTTTGGAGGTATTTATCATGTTCTCTCTCTCTCTCTTGAACACAATTAGAGGTATGTTAGTAATTTCCCTTATGCCTTTGTAAAGGGTATTGAAAAACCTTGTGGGAATTTATAGAATTGGCTTTTCATCTTTTTTTGAAAGGTTCGTGTTATCCAGTCTGTACATTCTTGATGTTGTGACAGTTAGTTTATAGTTATTATATTCAGAAAATATAAGGTATTCTGATACGATTACTCCCAGGCCTTATATTTTGTTATTTTTCTCTATAGTGCCATTTGTCTGCAGTTTGTTTGTAGCGTCAGTTTAGTTTTTTGTTGTTATCATGGTGTAGGAGCTAGAACTTTTCTTCATTGAACATATTATTTTCTGTGGACAACTGGAAGATATGGTTTAAATAAGTTTAGAGGTTTACTGTGTCCTTTATGGTTGTTACTCATACAAATTTTAGTATCTGCAGAGGATGGTACAGCAGTAGATTGTGTCTTTGTCTATGTTAGATAAAAGAATTAGGGAGAATATTGGAGAAATGCAGTACTATGGAGGACAGAGCTTCTCACTGGGAAGGCTCCAAATTTTGCTTTGTTGATTATGAATCTTCGGGTTCAGTTCGTTAAGAAGTTGAAGATCCATCTCTCGATTTTGGCAGTTCTTTCTTTCATGCACGTGCTATTACACCATTCACTGCACTTTGTTCAGGGCTCTTCTGGTGCTATAGCCAGCTTTATTTGTTTCTTTCATTTGCTTTGTGGTTTGCTCCAGTTTAACTTTGTTGGTTTGTTCTTTGCTCTGTTTTCTCATCAGGTACTGTAAGTGATTTGCCCTCTTGCAGTCTGTATACTTGGCCCGCTTGTCTGCTCGGTGCTTCTCCTTGTTGGCTTCATTTGCCTTTTTGGGTATATTTCCGTGTTTTGTTGTTTTTTGAGTCTTCCTAATCCCACTGTTGCTGTCCCGTCTCCCACAAGCATGTCTTGAGTGATTTGAATTTAAGTGGTAGTTGCCAATTCCCCTGACCCTGTTGTGTTGATAGGGGCTATCTGTCAACTATACAATATACTGATAGCCATTTGGTGGCTATCAGTATATTGTTGATCAACTAAAAGTTGTTTACAGAGTGATAATTGTTGGTCTCGGTACTTCTAAATCTTTCTACATTAGGTATTCAAGGATTGGGATTTGTTCTTTTGTAGTGAGCTGGTGCAATTACAGTGGCAACTCAATTTAGACTTGCCAGTGTCTTCCCTCCGTAAATAAGTAACAGAACTACTAGCAAAGATCATTGTCACACTAGGAATGTATCATGAGGGCATGGTGGGTGATACAGGTCCTGGGTGGACCATAAAGCCTTTGGCTTTGAAAGCACTATTTTTCTCCTCAAGGTTGATACCTCACTTCCCCATGGAAGTGGAAAACATGGTAATGATATTGTAATGTATGTACAGTATAACTATATTGGTATATTACTATTTTGCAAGACTATAAAAAAAGGCATCTACACTATTTGATTTCTGTAACATTATGAGAAAGGGCTGTTTTATTTTTTGTCTCGAATGAGTTGATCAGTTTCAGCAAAATACAAGTCATGTAAATTTTGAGTATAAGTACTGTACTGAACTTCTAAACTGTTGGACTGAATATTAAAATTCCTTAAGCACATCATTGCAGATGTCATATGGTTGAGCATTAAATGGTTTCCTCTAGTCAGTTTTCTTATTCTGTTTAAAGAGTCTCCATATACTCGGAACAAATTTATGTACAAAGTGTCCCACAGTTTTTAAGCTTGAAGTGTACCAGTGTTTGAAATGGGTGAAAAAAAATGAGTCATCATTCAAACTTTAGCATTGAATGTATTGTACATATAAATTTAAGGTTTTCTGCTATGAAAATATAACAGTACACTGTGTGTTTTCTTGGCTTGGTGCGAGTTGAAGTATCTTGAGTGTAGCTCAGAAAGATCACCATATGTACTCTGAATTCATGAATCTCAATAAGATTTTTTCTTAGCATTTGGAGTAGCCATATCAGCTAAGACTAAGTCCTCAAGAGTACAAAGAAGTTTTGGGTAGCTTTCCATGTGCTATAGTAGTTTTGTCGTGACAGCAAGTGTATGAGTGTTTTTATGATTTGTTCTAAAGAGCTAGAAATGAAATGGAAAAGGGAATATGTGAATAATTAGGGCAATTTATGATTACTTAAAGGATGTTTATCAACAAAATTAAAGCCTATGGCCAGTGAAAAGCACATGCCAGGTAATATTTACTCATTAACTGATTTCACTTGTGATAGCCGACTGCTCTCTGATGAATAATCTCAAAACCTGTGTAGTCTTTATTTATATATTTTTGTGTATACAGTATTTAATTTTTGATAGAGCTAGGTGGCAAGCAAAACATTCATGGTATTCCTGTGTCTATTGTATCTGCTAAATATAGTAGCACAGTTTTAGGACAAAAGTGCTTGTGCAACATTTTCTCTCATTTGATGCATCTGTTTACCCAACAGTCAATTGATACCTGGGAGTAAGACAACTGTTGTGAGTTGCATCCTGGACAAGGTAAGCACTTGGACTAGGGTGACCTTAATAAGTGTAACAGGTTTCTTGTCCTTGACTATGAGAAACTGTAAGGTGAACCATATTGTTAAAATAATCAGTATTTTATTAAATAAGTAAATTTGCTGTTTGGCTCACTAAAATTTGTATTTGTAGTTTTACATAATGTGTAATCTGTATGATAAATATAAACAGTAATTATGTGGAATAACAATTACTGTACATGTCATAATATTAACTTGACTAAATTTAAAAAACTCTTGTTTTAATAACAAGCATGCTGGTAGAATAGCATTAGTCCTCATAACAAAAGTATTTGAATTAACGAGAGCATAATGAATAAAAAGTGTTTTATCTTGCCCTGTAGGAATAAATTATTATTAATTTAAAAACAGTGTGTGATTATTGGGAAAGCAGTATCATCTTTG